CAGATAGATTATTGCCTTGCGCTTGAAATCGGAGCTCACGGAACAATCCATGCCCTCAGCTTGGCTGACCAAAAATCCTAGACTTGGATGCTTCTCTAGTTGCAACTTTGTTCTAAGTTCTATCATCTCATTTGGACAAGTGCAGTGTAATTGAGCTACTTCGTCATACTAACTTAACCGGCACGAATGCTGTATATGTACTGCAGGAGAAGCTGCAGGTTGCTGCAGCCGCATCGAAAGCCGCCGTGCAGCTACAAAATGGTAACGACCACACAAAGATTCAGTAGCTTTATCACATAGCTTGGGCCTCAAGTTGTGCCGCACTTTGTTCTTATTTGAATGCAGCCTGGGACGCTGCTAGAGTGCTACTAGTATCTTCTAAGCGTGTTGCCCCAAACATATGTGCTCAGGTCTTTCACTTCAGAGCAGTCAATACGTCGTCCCCGAAGATGTTAGAGCGGCAGGGTTTCAGATCGACGCCGATGAACTGACATCCATTGTCGAAAGCCGTGACACGGAAAGGCTGACCGAGCACGGTCAGTTAGATGGGATCGCCGACAAGCTAGCGACGTCGTTGACCGATGGGATAAGCATGCGCGAGGACCTCTTGGTGCAGAGGGAGCAAATATATGGTGTAAACAAGTTCGCTGAGAGCGAGCCTCGCAGCTTCTGGGAGTTTGTATGGGACGCCCTGCAAGATACTACCCTGATAATCCTTGCTGCATGTGCTTTTGTCTCTTTGACTGTCGGCATCGCCACCGAAGGCTGGCCGAACGGCTCCCATGATGGCATCGGAATCTTCGCGAGTATCATCCTGGTTGTTTCTGTTACCGCGACGAGTGACTACCAGCAGTCTTTGCAATTCAGGGACCTGGACAAAGAGAAGAGGAAAATTCTTGTTCAGGTTACAAGGGACGGGTTCAGGCAAAGGATATTGATAGATGATCTTCTTCCCGGTGATGTTGTCCATCTAGCTGTTGGAGATCAGGTTCCTGCAGATGGCGTCTTTGTTTCTGGGTTTTCTCTGTTGCTGGATGAGTCCAGTCTAACTGGAGAGAGTGAGCCTGTCGATGTAAATGAAGACAAGCCTTTTCTTTCATCAGGGACCAAAGTCCTAGATGGGTCTGGCCAAATGCTGGTTACATCGGTCGGGATGCGGACACAATGGGGAAAGCTAATGGCTGCTCTCACTGAAGGTGGGAATGATGAAACTCCGCTTCAGGTTAAACTTAGTGGAGTTGCAAATATTATCGGTAAAATCGGCCTGTTTTTTGCTGTGTTAACTTTCGTTGTCCTCTCCCAAGAATTAATTGGCCAGAAATATCATGATGAGCTTCTTTTTAGCTGGTCAGGAGACGATGTTTTAGAGATATTGAATCATTTTGCTGTCGCGGTTACAATTGTTGTCGTTGCTGTGCCTGAGGGGTTGCCATTGGCAGTCACACTGAGCCTCGCCTATGCAATGGAGAAGATGATGAATGATAAGGCACTGGTCCGGCAATTGGCTGCCTGCGAAACTATGGGATCAGCCACAGTCATTTGCAGTGACAAGACAGGAACACTAACGTCCAATCGCATGACTGTTGTTAAGGCCTGCATCTGTGGGAACACCGTGGAAGTTTGCGATCCGCTGATTCCTTCTAGTTTGTCTTCAGAACTCCCAGAAGTTGCAGTAGAAACTCTTCTAGAATCCATACTCACCAACACTGGTGGTGAAGTCGTGGTAGACCAAAATGGAAAGCAAGATATAATTGGTACTCCTACCGAGACAGCTTTGTTGGAATTTGCACTGTCATTAGGTGGAAACTACAAACAAAAACGGCAGGAAACTAAGATTGTTAAGGTGGAGCCTTTTAATTCAGTAAAAAAGAGGATGACTGTTATTCTCGAGCTTCCAGGAGGAGGATACCGTGCACATTGTAAGGGTGCTACAGAAATAGTATTGGCTGCCTGTGATAAGTTCATAGACGGCAGCGGCAGTGTTGTTCCCCTTGACAAGAAAACTGCCAACATGCTCAATGATATCATCGAGACCTTTTCTAGCGAAGCACTTCGTACACTATGCCTTGCTTACAGGGGATTGGAAGATGGCTCTACTCAAGAGGAAATACCACTGCAAGGATACACATTCATTGGCATTGTTGGTATTAAAGATCCTGTGCGTCCGGGTGTCAGGGAGTCTGTGGCAAGTTGCCGGTCTGCTGGCATTGCGGTTAAAATGGTTACAGGGGACAATATTAATACAGCAAAGGCAATTGCTCGTGAATGTGGTATACTTACTGATGGCGGTCTTGCCATTGAAGGTGCTGAGTTCAGAGAGAAAACACCCAAAGAACTCCTTGAGCTGATTCCCAAAATGCAGGTTTGTCATGCCTCTGTTTTATCTTGGCTTTGCAAGTGTCTATCCATCTAGTGAATTCTCATGTGCCAGTCTTGTGCAACTAAAGGTGCTAGCCCGATCGTCGCCACTTGATAAGCTTGCACTTGTGAAGCACTTGCGCACAACTTCCAATGAAGTTGTTGCTGTGACTGGTGATGGCACTAATGATGCACCTGCGCTGCGTGAGGCGGATATTGGACTTGCCATGGGCGTTGCAGGGACTGAGGTAATAACACCACTGAGTGATGCATACATAGCCTTGAAATGTCGTGGATTATACTATACATTTCTCCGGTTTTATATGAAGTTATGAAGGGATGTTTGGCTTTGAGATGTAGTGGAACTGTGGGGTGTGGATTATTCCTAGGACTATAACTATATACATGGTTTGACTTGCTATTGTTCTGTGGTTTGTCAATATTATTTGCTGGTGAATCTAGAAACCAAATTAAAATATTTATCTGGTTCCTGGGTAGTGGGACTATGGGAGGCTCCATTGTAGAAGATGATAACTTATGTGTTCTGCATAATCTGAATTTCTGTTGTTGGTAGAGCCTTTTCTAAGTTTTTGGCAGGCATTTGCCCTGTAATTTTTTCTTTAAATTGCTCTATGCATTTACGCAGGTGGCGAAAGAGAGCGCTGATGTTGTGATTCTGGATGACAACTTCTCCACGATTGTTACTGTTGCGAAATGGGGACGCTCTGTTTACGTCAACATCCAAAAGTTTGTGCAGTTCCAGTTGACTGTTAATATTGTTGCATTACTAGTCAACTTCTCCTCCGCGTGCTTTACAGGTATATCCTACTCATGATATTGTTGGTTTCAACACGTCTCCCATCTCACGGTCTACTATGTAATCTCATGCCAGGAGATGCGCCGCTGACAGCTGTTCAACTTCTCTGGGTCAACATGATCATGGACACCCTAGGTGCGCTGGCACTTGCCACCGAACCGCCTAACGATAATTTGATGGAGAAAGCACCAGTGGGAAGGACAGGGAAGTTCATCACAAACATAATGTGGAGGAATATTCTGGGGCAGTCGTTGTACCAATTCACCGTCCTCTGGTATCTACAAAGTCAAGGGAGATATGTGTTTGGGCTTGAAGGCTCCGAGGCTGATACTGTCCTAAATACAATCATATTCAACACCTTCGTCTTCTGCCAGGTATGTCGGCTCTCGTAAAATGCTCTCCTCTTTCACCATCGTTTCTTCTAAAGTACTATTCCCTCCATTCGGAAATAAATGACGTGGCTTTAGTTCAAATTTGAACTAAAACGTAAAACCACGTCACTTATTTCCGAACGGAGGGAGTAGAACGAGATAGAGTGGAAGGAAATCGTGTCGTATGGGTTGAATATTATCATTAAAACAGTGAAGAGAGAAGGTAGCATGGTGATAGTTATAATTGTTATTTGAGCTGAAGTGCCAAGCGAAGTGGATAATTTCTTGCAGAGGATTAATACGATGTGATTTCTTGGTTTTGGGATCTCTGTTTTGATTTCTTGATTTCTTTGTTTTTACGATGTGATTAACTTATGTGTTCCTGGGTAGTGGGACTATGGGACAATTTGTTAGTATTTTTTTTGTGCTTCATGGCTCCGTTTTTTGATCTGCATCTCCGTAGGTGTTCAATGAGGTCACCTCAAGGGAGATGGAGGAGATCAATGTTCTGAAGGGAATGTCGGAGAACTCTATTTTCGTGGGCGTTCTCACCGGCACTGTTGTCTTCCAGTTCATCCTGGTCCAGTTCCTGGGCGACTTTGCCAACACCACCCCGCTGACCCAGCTCCAGTGGCTCATCTGCATCCTCTTTGGCTTCCTTGGAATGCCTATTGCCGCCATGATCAAGCTCATTTCTGTAGAACCTCGTGAAGAACAGGACGGTTATGGAAAGTTGTAGACTACAGCAAAAGATCAACAATCTAGAGTCAAAGATCAACACCATACCACGAAGAAACATGACTCAATGCCACTTCCTGCATGCCCCAGATCAGACATGCAGTGCAGATTAACCAGCTGTCTTTGAAAACCAAGGCAAATGGTAAATTACCCAGCACAATAACTTCATACAAGTATGGCACGTTAACTTCGTAGTACAAGGTTTCAATGTAGGGTGTAGACATCCCGAGATTATACATATGTAATACTATTGTTACACCAATGATTACAGTGATTCATTCAATGTTAAAAGAAGTTGATTTGTTCCAACAAATCAGCAGCTTAATGCTCATACAGTACATATCAGGTGTTCTAGAAACATATGGGTTGCCCTTTACTGATGGCGCAGCTATTTGATTTGTGCAATTAACGATTTCTGTCATGTAGATACCATACACAGCTGCAACAAAATACTTTGCCTATAACGCACTGCATGGCGCCTTCCCAAACTGCGGCGAAGTGAAAGGATAGCTGGGTCTCGAATCAAGAAACCAACTGCCATATATCTACATGCCAGGGCAACTGCCATATATCAACGTACTCCCTCTGTTCCGAATTACTTGTCGTAGGTATGGATGTATCTAGATATATTTTAGTTCTAGATACATCCATTTCTGCGACGAGTAATTTAGAACGGAGGGAGTACTTGCCAGGTTAACTAACTTCCCCGTCACCAGTCAGCTAGTCTGACTGCATGCATCATAGGGGAGTACTGACTGTATCAATATTTTTGCGCTCTCCAGCTTCTGCATTGAACCTTCATCATCGACAAGGCCCTCCCTGCAATGCCTGTCGATCTCAAAGAAGTTCTTGCGCAGAGAATCATGAGTGAGCCGCAGGTTCTCGGAGGCTGACGAGCTGCTGCTGCTCGCAAGCAGCTTGTCACAAACAAAGCGTGCCAAGCCTAAGACAATGCCGTGCTCCGCTCTCTGCAGCGCCAACTGAAGGTTGGAAAGCAAAATGCCACCGAAGGAATCCAGGATCTTAGGGCTTCCTTTATTCAGCAGGTTCACCATCAATTCTGCTAGCTTTTTGGATGACGGTGACTCCTCGTGCTCGTTGCCCTGCTCACTCTGATCATCCTCCCTAGGTTCTTCCGCCTCAAGTAGCTCATTCTTGGCCAGAGCAGCAACCCACAACGGTAATTCAGCGTCACCCAAGTTGCACATCTTGGTAGCCATCTCACTTTCTGGCCCAATCAACCAGCGGCATCCAAGACCCAATATCAGGACTGGCAGCCACTGTTTTACAGCAGAAACTAGTGTGAGAGCATATCTCGGGCCTGCAAAGGATTCTACAGCAGGTACAAGATCAAGAAGATTATTGGCAAGGAGGAAGGCCTCCTCTGGGGGACTCGCTGACTCGGTTGAGCTTGCTAGCACCAAATGAAGCAGCTTGGCTGCGTAAGTGAAGGAGCTTCGTGTAAGGATCAGTATGTCTTTCAGATCATCCCCATTGAAAGATGAGACCACACTGTGCCTTTTCATGGCTGACACTGCATATTTTGTGTAAGATGATGCAAATCCGACACATCTTACTTTACTCTCATTGACCAGCTTGATGGTTGTCGTATCGACAATGAACTTAAGAATTGAAGTACCAAGCATAATCACATTTATTGTGCATTCCACTGGATTTCCTGCACAAGATGCATCACTTACTTATTTATGAGGTAATAAGAAAAATTATGCAGGATTTTTTTGACCGAGAAATTATGCAGCATTGATACAATTTGCACAGATAACGATGATTTTAAACATGAAATTTGTATTTACACTCTTTGCATGCTATCAGAACATCAGATACTCACTTGAGTTGATGAATAAACAATCAATTTAAAGAGGATTACCACATAAAGAGCTTGTATGGGTTTTGTGAAGACATACCTTCAGGGGTGACATGCTGCTGATGTTTATGTTCTGCAGATTCCTTATTCTTGTTCAATGTTGAAGTTGAGTTGGTGGAAACAGTAACAGATCCATTTACAAATCTATCATAGCATCTCAGCAGATGGTCCAGTGACTGGTTGACAATTGTCGACTGACACAAGATGAAATTTACAATGAGACTAGCAAAATATTAAATACAAATACTGAATAATATTCACACAGATCTATGGAAAGCTATCTAAGATAACAGTGTGCAATCAACGAATCTTAGATTTGTTCCTATTGATGCATAACCAGATAAGTACGGTTTAACAACAAGATAACAGGTGTGGTGGCACTGCGTAAATCGACTCACCTCAGAGCAGCTCATATCCGTTTGATCAACATCCTGAAGAGCACTATATGTAGCCAAACTCAAATAAGCCAACACTGGACTGAGGTCTAGAGATTCAAAATGTAGGCACTGCTCAATGTACACTTGAGAAATGACCTTCAGAGAAGAAAATGCAATTTCTGCATAAGATTGCACAAAAGCAGCTCTCATCTCCTCAGCTTTTAGTATTTCATTAAGCTGCCATGCTGCTCCCCCTACAGCAGCAAGTTCTTCATTATTCAGGATTACTGGTGTGGATGACCTATTTCCAACCACATCGTCAGACCTTGCTGGCGTTTTCTTAAGCGACTTCCCTTTCTTCCTCTTTGTAGATGCAACAGGGCACGATGGAGGTTCGAGTCCATAAATCCCAGAAAAATAAGAGGCTTTAGATTGCAAAATATTAGTCAATTCTTCAAACATTTCATCAGAACGGCCACTCAAATGTACCAACTTATGCGCTGCCAACAATGCTTCTTGACATTCTTCCTGCTTGGAAGTCACCGCAGCATTCACAACTATATTCATGCATTCGATATGTAACACACATAGATCATCAGGTGATACCACTGGCACCATGCTGAGAAGAGCAGCCTGGGCACCATCAGAAACTGCAGTTTTAAAGAGCAGCTTCAGTTTAGCATTTGCAAAGCACTCTCTCAAAGCAACCAAATTAGAGCCCTCGTCAGATAAGCTTTTTATTAGTTTGGCGGAAGCAATAACAAGACCATCAGTCTGCTCTGAATTCAATCCTGATGGTGACAATGCCCGACTAATAAAGACTTTAATAAGCCCAACAAGACGCTGCGAGGATGATCCTTCGGACAGAGCAAATTCACAAAACCTTGCCCCAGCTGCTGGCGATCTCTTTATGAGTGCAATGCAGCGATCACATGCTTCTTTTAAAGGCAACTTAGATGGAAAGTAAGAAGGAATGAGAAGCTTCGTGATTTTTTTAGCAACACGGGGATGATCATCTGCAAGTGAAGACAATAGAGTACCCAAACCAACAACCTGAACAGAAAAGTGTGTATTAAACTCCTACCCAGAAATATCCAAATATACGCTAGCCTATTTGCTCAAATTGAAAGTTCTGTAAATGCAAAGGTCAGCTAGGTTACAGTGTAAATCAAGATATGCATGCAATAACTATGTACCATACCTTATTGTATTGGAAAGATCGAAGATCACGAATAGTTAACAGGAGATCTACAGCAGCAGCTCTGACAGATAAAGCAGGATCAGAAACCATATCGCTTAATCTTGGAAGTAGCACTTTCAGTATGTCATGACTTTGTGGATTGTCAAGCAAGTATATCAGGCCATTCAGTGTTGATAGACGAACTTCATTGCAAGAATCTTTGGACATGTCATCAACAATTTTACTCAAATTTTTTGAAATGGTTGGCGATGGAATAACTTCCCAAAACTGGTTAAGAATACGGCAAATTCCTTCAACTGCGACTGCCCGTATTTCTAGGCAGTCATCTATGAGAAGTTTGTCTAGCAGGAAGAACTGCTTCTCTAACAGAGGATCATTGACATCCTTTGTCACATCTGGGTCTTCGAGGGGAAATAAATCCAGTAGAAGATGTAAAGCATTATGGCGAACATTAGAGTTCGCAACCTGCCACAAAGTAGACACTTGAGATAGCCATAAGAATGTCTAACTTAAAGTGTTCCATACCTACTATTTCTTGACAAATACATGTTAAAAGTGAAACATGAAAAGTGATTACAACTTCCTGAGTACAAACTAAACTTCAAGTAATCCATTGAATTCAGTAAACTTGGCCATTGTTCTAAAAAAATTATAGGTTGTAATGTTTCTCTCATACCTAGAGCATAAACAGTGATGACCGACTATGCAGCTTTGGGAATGTGGATGGGTTATTTGAAAGCAACAGTATACATGACATCCTACCTATATAGAATCACTCAATACTGTTCAGTATGCATTAATCAAATGTTGATATGCGATTATGCATTGCTATTTTAGACATGAATAAATTCCAGTAGACAAACTGTTACCTAGAGTATCACAGTACCGACCAATCTCATTTTGTCCAGAAACCTGATCTTTGTGTAGACTTTCCCTTGTGGGAAGATTAACAAGCTAACATGAGATACAAACACTAAGAGGCTAAGGTATCATGTGGAGAAGTCATGTGAAATTGTGGACGCTTTTGAAGTTTACAGTCATGTGACGAGTTAAACCTTTTTGTTTGTTTGTTATGGCAGTTAGCAGCGAGTACTTTGAAGCTCTGTTAGCTACTGGTTTTGTTATTGTAGCAGCATGCATGTGTGTGAGAATAACACTACTAGGACCAGGCATTTTAGCAGAGCCCGCCGTCTGACATTCTTAAACCTTCCCTAAGCGAAACATTGTACTATCATAATTCATCAACAAATCACTTGAATTGTGATTTCATCAACAGCAGAGCAAGCATTTTTCAAGTCAGTTATATATACTCGCTTCCCTCTGGTACAAATTTGCATCAACACTAGCCAACATATAGTTCTACCACCCATCAGAGAAGTGCAAGGCAATGCACGTACCTGCAATGACCGGAACAGCACAGGCTCGGACAGCCTGAAGACCAACTTTTCAACTCCAGCCACCGCCTTCTGCTCGACGAAAGCCCACAGTATCCTCCTGGCAGCCCTGGCCACCTCCTTGTCAGCGGCATGTACTGCTGCCTCAACCATCCCCTGCAGAAACCCATCCCCGATCTCCCCTCTGACCCACCCTGCGTCCTTCCAGGCTCTGAACACCACCTCGCCGTAGGCGACCACGGCCGCCCGCCTCCCTCGCATCATCCCCACCTGGGCCCTTATGAGCTCCAGCCCCTCCCTGGCGAGCCCCTCGCTGACCCCGAGCACCAGCGCCAGGAGCTTCCTCCCTTCCTCGGCCTTGAGGAAGTGGGGCGACACGAAGCAGCGCAGCAGGAGCAACTTGAAGTCCGAGATGCTCTCGTCGGTGTAGTCGAGTAGAGGCAGCGCCTCGCGGAGGGCGAAGAGGCGGCGGAGGAGCGGCCTGGCGTTGGAGCCGGAGGTGAGCGCCTGGGAGAAGAGGTAAGGCAGGGTCTGGGCGACGAGCGCGTCGCGCCCTGGAGCCCCGGCGCGCCACGCGAGCTCGAAGCAGGAAGCGGCGAGCGCGGCGACGGGAGGGTCCTCGGTGGCGAGGACCGCGAGGCGGTCGTGCAGGAGCGCGAGCG